CCAAGATCTGAATAATTTCAATTTTGCTTCAGAGGGCAGGGCCTGGAGAAAGGAATGCGTAGGAGTTGACCTGGTCAAACATGGGGTCCCTATCACCTAGCTGAGCCTGCTTTTCCTCCCTCAGACAGGTATGCAGGGAGAGGGTGGGGTGCACCTGGGTGGAGGTGGAGCTGCATGCGTGTGATCAGGGACTGTGGCTGTGGTGGCTTGGCGGTCCCCTGGCCAGAGTCCCCCTGGGTGAGAGGCGGAGGGGAGTGGGGCTCCCTGGGAGGTGGCCAGGTCAGGTGGCTCTGGTTTCCAGCTGCCACCAAACAGCCCAGCCCACAAGCCACACCGAGGCTCCTCCACGCAACCAGACACCCAGGCCTGGCGCGGCCGTGATCCAGCCCCTGATAGGTGGGCTCACAGCCATGGCAACAGGTGGCCGCCTCTTGCCTGCCACCAGCCCGGCCGCCCTGCTCCCCTCCCTGCCAGGGAGCAGGAACCCAGGCTCGGTGAAGGGCCTGGGACCCAGTCTAGAGTGGCTTCCCCAGTGGGCAGGGAGAGACTGCCGCACAGCAGATGGGCATGGGCGGAGCCATGCTGGGGTGAGCAGCACCCTGGGCTAGGCTCCCTGGCTACCCCAGGCCTGTGGAGCATGCTGCGGCTGGGGGGACCCAGGTCCCAGGGCCGTGCCTCCTGGCGCAGCATCCGGCAGGTAGGACTTACCAGGACGGAGGCTGGCCCTCCTTCAGATCTAGAAGGGGCCGCGTGTGGGGTGTGTGTGTGTGTGTGTTTCAGGGCCTCTGAGCCCAGCCTAGGAGTAGTACCGCCTTCCAGGGTCCCCAGATGATGAGGGACAGGCAGGTCTGCTTAGTCCTGGGCTTGGGGTGGGTTTGGCCTTGTCAGGGAGAGGGACAGGACAGCTCGCCCGGCCCTACTCTCTCCTCTCTCTGGGATCTCCCTTCCCTGGCAGGTGGGGGGTCAGGATGTCAGCAGTGTGTCCCCCAGCACCTGAGCTGGGTGCTGAGGAAAGGGACCGAGGCTCCTCGAGGCCAGGGTTACCTCACCCTCTCTGGCTTCCCAGGACCTCAGCCTTGCAGGACATGGGGGCATGCAGCAGGCTGCACCCCTGCTCCCCACCCCGGTGTCTGACCCATCTGCCTCATCTCCCCACAGCCTGACCTGCTCAACTTCAAGAAGGGATGGATGTCCATCTTGGATGAGCCCGGAGAGGTAGGCAGGCCGAAGCGGGAGGGTGGAGGCTGGCCTGAATGGCCCTTGTGGGCAGCCCTACCCGTTCTGCCTTCCAGAGAGCCTGGTCCCCAGGGGCAGGGGCCAGGCCCTGGGGCTGAAGCAGAGGGGCTCGGGCAGCTCTGCCCCCAGGCAGGTCAGTTGTGTGTGAAAGTCCCTCACCCCTTCCTCTCACCCAGAGCCCAGGCCGCTCCCTCCTGCTAGGAACTGAGGAGTTGAGGGCCTGGGATGGAAGAGTTTACCTGATCCCTACATGTAGAGGCGGGAAGCCAAGACTACATGAGGCCCTGGAACAGGCTGTGTCCCCTGTCTCCCCTTCCCGCCCCCCTTCCCCTGCCATGCTTAGTCCCACTGTGCTTGGTAGTGCCTTCCCCAGACCTCCCCAATTGAGAACAGGAGCAGCTCCTGCTGCTGCCCTGTTTGTCTGGCCTGCAGCCTGCGCCTGGCCCCGGTGCCCATAGAGCCAGCCAGGCACAGCCAGGTGGGGAGGGGCCACGGCACACATGCTAAAGTCTCATCAGCCCGGGCCCCTCAGGCATCAGTGGCCGAGTCTGTGAAATGGGTAAGCAAGGACAGGGGCTATTTCACCAGCTCAGCCTTCTTGGCGGCCAGGCTGTAGCCTGAAACTGAAGCTGGCGCCTTGCCCACTTGGCCTGGGAAGGGGCAGCCCCGTAGATCTGCCCTGCATGCCCCTGGGGCTCTGGGTCTGTGTGCAGCCCGCATGCAGGGGAGGGCATCATGCCAAGGGGCATCTCATTGTGTTCCCTACCCACGTTTGGTTCCCCTCCAGCCCACAGCCTTCCGCACCCGCCACCCACCCGCCTGGCTGCATGGCCAGCCCGTCCTGGTGGCTGTTTGCCAGGCTCACACAAGGCCTGGTGCCCTGCCAGCGACCCCTTCTGGGCCTCCCCGCCCAGGGTCTCCCCCCGCCCCAGAGGGCAGAGGGATC